GGGTCGGCGGTATGTAGTGGCGTTAGGTAACTGGGGCTCGCACTTTATGGATAAAAAACCATAGGCCGGAAACTGGAGACCAAAACGAGTATGTGTACGTACAAGGCCTGATAGAAGAAAAATTTACGGTTCTTCTAGGAAGACTTTCCAGTATTATTCTATTCCCAAAAGAACATCTAGTTCCACATACTGCGTGACATATAAAGTTTCCGAAATCTATATCAACAAAGGAGCTCAGCTGAATCGTGAGGATATAATTTTTGAACTTGATATGTGGCTGCAACCTTGTTCCTGATATGTTGTTGGACGGCGAACCGTTCGTCGTTTGAGTTTAATAATTCAACTTTGACTCCTGACGCTTCTGTCGCTCGATATTTTCCAACTCCTACAAGAGTAAGTGGCCGTATATCGTAGACTTCTAGAGATATTCGTGAAACTGCTGAGTTGGTAATAAAACTTACTTCCGCGACTGATTCCAAAAAGATAAAGACCGATTCCAATTCACCTATATTTGTGGTGAATACGGGCTTTGACAATGATCAGATGGCTGAACGGGCATCGAAGACTAGACTTGTGTGTGTGTTTTTTTACAGTAGCAAGACAGGTCATGAGACTTCCGCGTTAAGACATAGAGACGGAATGCATAGTAGATTGGGTTTCTAATGGTGACGTGACTGAAATCTTCAAGTTATGCGGCTCAACCTTTCTGCTGAATGTGCCGTATCGGCAAGTCGAACCATAAGAGGAGGAAGAGACGGCTATGGCAGTGAGCAGCGATAATGATAAAGGGAGGGCTGGAAAGAACGATAGGCGGGATAGCTAGGAGATATAGTGCATGGATTGACGAGTTTCTCTGTCGTAACGACTGTATTGTGGCCACAAGCGACCCGTGGAGCTGGGATAGCTACGCCTTGAGGAGTGACACGAACCGCTTTCACAAGAACCGTTCCTAGGAAAATGGCTACGAGATGAACCTTGATTGTTCCTTTGCGGGTGGCGCTGTGAGGCCGGAAGTCGATGGTCTTGGAATTGGATTGGTAAGACAGAAGAGAGGATGGTGAGACTTTCCACAGCGATTACAATTAGGTGCGTCGCAGTTACTCGCAAGATGACCTAGGCAGATACACTTATAACACAACCAAGAACGATCAACGATAAAACGGCGAAATGATGGATTCCAGGTCTTCGACAGTTGCTGGATTTTTGATTTGATGATGCACAGAGAAAGGAGATATCGCAGTGTGTGGTGTCATTTTTTGTGTAAGTCATTTCCCGAATGATCAAGCGCGCTCAGAATAAGTCCAAGTAGCGGGCCCTAGAGTAGACGTATGGGCCTGTGATGTTGGCATTTCTGTTGTGCCCAACCGGTATCGGCGGCATGGCCGACTGCAACAGAGAGTAGCGTACCTAAGTTGCATGTACCCTGTAGTTGAAACGCTGCCTCCGCGGGCTCAGGTGCCTTCTGCCTAGCGCACGTGTACGCTTTCGGAGCACTTACCTAGGCGCGACTAAACACTAACTCCGAGTTTTGGCAGCCGGACTCCCTGCTCATCAAAGTGGGCTGCTTAGTGGTTTCCCCTGAGCCGTGGTACATCCGTGTGTTCAATTCATTGGACGGTAAGACAACAATCAATAGTGCCACTTTATGATTCCCCATGTATCACAATATATACAGAAAAAAACATAGAATAGCATACAACGTATACAAAGAAAAAAGGGGAGATACATGCGTTATAGAAAACAAGCCTGACGCGCTCGGCAAAGGGGCGAGGGATGTTATCCTTGATGGCTGCTGGTCCGGCAAAATTACAAATTACGCAATTCTAAATTTGGAGGCTTCTGCTCGTGGTTGGTCGGGGTGTTGTTTCGAGGGCGGGGCATCTCCAGCCAGCGGCATTCTTCATCTTCCTTCGTTGGCCCACTTCTTGGACGACCAGCTGTGGTAACTGCAGGCGATTGGACTAACTATACAGCCAAGATCCGGCTATTCATATGCTTCACAGTGGGCGTGGCAGAGGAGCACGTCTTCTTGCCGGGACGCAGTGTCGGCAAGTGTTGGGATAGGAAAGGAAACAATCACGACACATTCCAATTTGAGCTCAATGAAAAGTCTCTTAGTAGTTATAGCTATTCCTAGCTTGTATTCATCTTTAGTGCCAAACATGTAATATCTTTAGATTTGGGCATACTTATAAGGAGGCTTTAAACAGCACAGCCTGCTCCGAAATCTCTTCCGAACAGTAAAGATATTATTCTTATAGCGTTTGTCGATAGTTCTGTTCACTATAAAGTATTATAACTGAAGTTTTTAGCAAAATGCATATGCTCTCGCCCTATCATTTTCACTAGGGAAAAATTCTAGATCACTTGCAACTGTAAAGTAACAAGATAATGGATACTTCGTGAGGCAAAATGCTTTCGGAATCAAAGACCCGTGGACGTAACCGTGTTCCGCAGACGCAATGACCGCCATTCGGTTGTTCGGTTCTTGTATTCCTGGACTCGTATGTCCGAAGAAAGCGGAACGCTGTGGGTGTTGCTGTATGGCTGCGATCGGTCACAAACAGGAGATTTCGCAGCGGTGAGATGAATGGAAACTGTTGTAAATGATTAGTCGAGATTTATAAATGATTTAATGCAAAAGCGACATATAGGCCACGCAGGTGCAGCTTCCACTGCGCGAGGTGTTGATCGAGGTTATTGAAATGGGGCAGTTCAAAAGAGATAGGAGGGATCCTGGCTCCAAATCGTTAGTGGTAGGAGGCTGTTGTTTTAGCAAACTCCAGCATTGTTATAAACTTAGTAGGATTATTGCGTTTGTGTAGTATGCTTGAGCTCGACTGTTAGTTTCGTGTGACGTTTCAAATTTACTTCATATTATTGACTTACTAGTTGAGTAATTTCATTTCTAGAAACA